CGGTGGCCATGCAGCAGGCATCACCGTCCCGGGCCACTGGGCCGCTACCCGGACCAGATGTTCCCGCGCAGGGTCGGCCTGCTCAGGGTTTCGCGGCACCCCTCGCCGCGACCGCGACGTGCCCGTTCCGCCGGCTCACCTCGGCCGAGCTACTCGAGCATCGCCGCCAAGGGTTGTGCTTCAACTGCGACGAGCCCTACACGCCCGGCCATGTCTGCCTGCGACTCTTCTACCTGGAGGCTGCAGACTACATTGAGGAGGACGCCGTCGCCGCCGACCTGACCGCCCCAGCTGTCGCGAAGGTGTTTGACGCTGGTTGATCACCTCGAGGAGTTCAGCAAGCGCTTCCCCACCTTACAGCTCGAGGACGAGCTGTTTGTGCAGGCGGGGAGAAGTGTTATGACCGTCATATTAGGGGCTTAGCCCAGTGGGTTGTGGCCCAAGTTATCTTATCGTTATTAGGGGCTTAGCCCAATTATCTTATTGTTTGCTTAGGAGTCAAGTAAACCTCTCTATATAAGGAGAGGAGATGTATCATCAATCTAATCAAGCAAAGAAGCAATCATTATTTGCTCGGCTTCCCTTAGGGAGCCGGGAGACCTAACCCTAGTCGCCTCTTGCGCCGCCGCCGCCTCTCCCTCTAGCGCGCGACGACGCCTTGCCGCCGGCGACCGCGAGCTTCGCCACGTCCAGCCCCCTCCTTCCCCTACAACCTACGCCCTAGACCCGGTAGGGTCCCAGCTCCTACCAATTTACCTCTAGCATCTTACTCTAATATTGAGTGTTTAACCTGCTTCCTTTCTCCAAATCTACAATTGCACTATTAGTGGTAGCACTGGTTGACATATGCCATTTTCTGTAACCCCTAAAGACTGAACCGGTGCATACAAATCTTGCTCTGAGCAATAGAAAATAATGATTATGGTCTGTTCTGCATATGTATATAGAGCATGCTACTGATATTTATCACAATGGTTGTACCTATTTCTTTCAAGTAATTTTCTTGTCTTACTAAATTTACGAATTCTGACAAAACTCTCATTGAATGAAAGCGAATGTTTTGCTATCATCTTCCTGATCCAGCAACATCTTGTTATGTTATGCATATATGCTACAGAATTTTTACAGAGATGCCAAGAAAAAATTCGACGAGGATCCTGATTTTAAAGGCAGGGCTCAGCAAGCAGTAGTTCGCCTGCAGGTGTTGTTTTTCTTTCAATCCTTGTTGTTTGCTCAATTTATGACTTATGGCATGACTTATTCTCACCACCAAACAATAACTGAATTGTAGAGAGGGGAAGATAGATACCTAGCTGCCTGGAAAAGTATTTGTCAAATTAGCCGGAATGAGTTTGACTTGGTGTACAAACGCCTTAATGTGGAACTTGAAGAAAAGGTATTACTACTGTTCCCTGTTTGCCTACCAACAAATATTAGGAGAGAACTCCTGAATTTTTGACATACTATTGGAAGCTGAATTATTCTGGTGGTATGAACTAAGCTGTGGTTTCCCTAAAAATATAAGCATTGTGTTTTTGTTGCAATGGCATTGTGTTTACTAGTGCTGGAATGTTATGTTCAGTTACTACTGATAAATATACTGTTCAAACATATTTTGAAGTGGAATTTCAGAAATTATATTGATTATCTACATTTTTTACCTTTGTTTGAATTTTTTGCCTTACTGAAACTACCAATGGCCTTGATCTCCAACCAAACTTCACCAACAAGAAGCAAATGATTATTCATAGTTTTATGTACTTTTTATGCGAAATCAAGCTAGCTAAATTGTTAATTTTCTCAGGGCGAGAGCTTTTACAATCCTTACATTCCTCGTGTTTTGGAGGAATTGACTGGCAAAGGCTTGATTACAGAAAGTAAAGGCGCTCGAGTTATAGAAGGCCGAAAGCCTCCTCTGATAGTGGTCAAGAGAGATGGAGGCTTCAACTATGCTTCTACAGACTTGGCTGCTCTTTGGTCAGTTACTAAAACATCAATTAACACATTGTTCCTTTTGTAACTTCTCGCCCTAAGACATAAATTCTTTTCCCGTATTTGTCAGAGAATATGAAACTAGTAGTGTTCAATATATGAGATGTAGGATCCCTGTTGAACTGCTTAGCTTTTAAACTCATATGTGGTTCTTATCTTTATGAAGGTACCGGCTTAATGTGGAGATGGCAGAATGGATAATATATGTAACGGATGTAGGTCAGCAGCAACACTTCCATTCGGTTTTCAGTGTGAGTATCATATCCATTTTCTTTGTAGGATCTAGAAACAATATTTCAAATGCAGTCTTGGTCTACTAGTCGGTTCTTATCATATGAAGAGGACCAACTGAGATTCTGTGTGTCACAATACCTTTTGTGAAACTAATCATAGGCTGCTAGGATGGCTGGCTGGCTCCCAGATCAAAAAGAAGAGAAGTACCCAAAGGCGAGCCATGTTGGTTTTGGCTTTGTTCTTGGTGCAGACGGCTCACGTTTCCGGACCCGTTCCTCTGATGGAGCTGTTCGACTGGTAGATCTACTTGATGAGGCTAAATCCCAGAGCCTGGCACAACTTATCAAACGTCTCACTGAAAATGGTA